CAATAACGAACGGGCGCTTGATATACAAAAAGCGCCCACGCTTTTTTCACAATAATACTAGTATTTTTCGTTCGTTATTGTTTTAAGCTTATTTCAATGCTAGTTTCGTACGACTTTAAATAACCAATAAACGTGTTCACATAGAGCACCTGAACTGTCTTCAAGACTTTGTCAGAATGTTTTCAAAATATCTAGTACTACATACATTACAATCACAACTTACAAATATTTGAAAATTCATGAGTGTTTTTTACTGATGCTTATCATTTCAGTAGGACATAATATCAACTGATAACTTCATCTGGACAGAATATCACCTGATAACTTCATCTTTGATCTATTGAAATGTTTTAGGCACATTATTATATGAATAAGGAAGCTAATTTTTCTTTGACAGACATTTTGACAATGTCATATGACTATTATGTGAAATATTCTTTTGAAGTTTTTCAGTTATTCAATAAAATGAAATTTCCATGAAAATTCGTATTAGCAAGTTTTGATGTGGTTTCCCAGATGCTTGTATCTGTAGAGTAGGAAGGGTGAATGTAATCCCACAGCACTTAGGCCACATGTGACCCATTGTACATCCTCCCGAGGAGTTGTCCTTCTAGGTCATCGTCCATCCTGTCCTTTCCAGGATGGTGGACAGGTCACTGGGAGACATCTCCTATATCTTATTGACAATAAGTCGGCAATGTGATTACCTTTACGCCTGTCGTGTCATTTAAGCGACCTTAGGATAATATTATTATCTACCGAGGCTTAGGCTAAATCTTGGTGGCACTCAAGTACTAGCCCTGAGGTAACACGTCTGTTCAAGGCTAATATAGATGCTTGTTTGAGAGCCATTGACAAAAAATGGAACCTCATTAGACTAAATTGTTCATTAAGCAAAGAAAATTTCTTTGATGCTATAATTTTCTTATTCAATCATACTTATTTCACTTTCAATAATAAACTTCATAAACAGACCTTTAGCACTCCAATGGGAGCGGAGCAAAATTCCTATTTTAGCTAGTTATGTCATGGACGACTTACTAGACATTGTCTGATAGGTATTACCTTTTAATTTATTCTTTATAAAAAATATGTTGATGATTTAATAATTGCATTACCACATCCGGAATTATAGAAATACTGGAAGTTTTCAACAGTTATGGTCCATACATAAAATTTATCATCGAATGTGAGGATGGAAAACATACCATTCCTTTCTTGGACACAAAACTTCTTCAAACTGCAGATAATACCATCTTAATAGATTGGTATAGAAAACCAGTAAGCTCTGGTAAATATATGAAATACCATTCTTACCATAAATGCCCATGAAAATTAATTTGATCAAACAAATGAAACAACGTGTTCTCTGCATTCTGATTATTCTTTTCATACAAAAAATTTACAAATTTTCTTTCAATTGTTTAAAAATAACTCATATCCAGATTCTTTAGTGAAGACGATACTGTTTAGTACTCCTTCTATGATGAATGAAATAATAATAATTCAAATATACAAAATAATAATGAAACAAATATCAATGATAATATAGTTGCTACGATTCCAATTTTGCCACAATTCGTCTCATTACCTTACATTTCTGATATCACAAATAAATTGTAATCAAAACAGTTCTTTCTATAAATTCAATTTTCACTTAACGCATAAGAGACTGGCATTGCCATATAGCAATGCTTATCTTTCTGACATCTACACTGTTATTGAAAAAAACAAAATCCATTTTTCCAGTTTTCTGCTTTAGTACAGTTCCAGAATTGTTTACTTCACTCCCAAATAGGAGTAGATGACTCTGGCATGCTTTTTTTGCTTAGTGTAATTGAATATTCTAGCGTGTTATATTTGCTGACTACAAAATGGATATAAACTTCATGTAAGTACAACAAAATATCTCCTGTTATGGTCTATAGAAGCATGCAAATCCAAATAAATGATGATATTCCATACAAATAGCACTTTTGACTAAAATAATTCGCTAATTAGATATTTATATGATTCCTAACCTCAGAATTGCCATATGGCCATATTGCAGTGCTAGACTTCACAGGCTGCATGTTTACATAATGTTTCTTTTTGTTGACAAAATGGTTTAGACTTTCACGGCTGAGGTTTTCAGTGTCATTTCTTTTCGAGTTTGAAAGCCGTGGATTTTTGGAATTTTTTCCTGATGTTTTGCTGGCGCGAGTGGCTAGTTCTTTAACCATCATGGCTTGCTGTCCGATGACTACCTTTTCGGCTTCATAAAGTGTATTTATGCCTTGTCAGGTAATCAGTTGTATTTGTACCTGTACTCGTTCCTGCACTTGAACTTGGAACATTAACAATCTTGCTTCCTGTTGTCCTGTTCGTTATTCTCGAATTCCTTAAAATGAGGCTCCATATTTGATTGAGGTGCACCGCTTCTTTTTTTTCGGTTGAAATTCTCCGTGTGTTTGTGGATCTCTTTTGCCTCCTGTACCAGTCGGCTATGGTATCCCTGGTTGGGGGCAATTAGTTCTGTGTTTTCAAACAAAATTCTGAGGTCTCCTTCACTAAGTGCGTGTTCTGCTACAGTTGACTTGTCCATTAGGCCTAGTCTGCAGTTCGTTTTATGCTCTTTTAGTATTGTTCCCATGGATCGTTTGGTGGTTCCGATATATACCTTTCCACAAGTGCACGGTATGCGATAGACCCCTGCTGCTGATAATGGGTCTCTTTTGTCTTTAGCCGACCAGAGGCTTTGGTGTATCTTCCTCGTGGGTTTGAAGACTGTTTCGATGTCGTGTTTGCAAACACATCGAGAGGAGAGAGATTGTCAAAGCATACCTCGTTAAATATCGCAATCCTCGAAAACTTGGTGGCAGATCATCAAGCAGTGCATCAAGTAGATCTTTTAACCGTATTTCTGATGACATAAGATTTGATAATATCGGACATTACCTGACTTCTGTACCAAATAATAAAAAAATTGTGCTGGTGAACAATGCAAGTCAATAATGAGAATAATTTGTATCAAATGTGGCGTAGGGCTTTACCTAAAATGCAATTTATCGTTCCATACCCGTTTGTAAATCTTCCTGACAATTCTGATACATTTTCAATAAAACAATTCCATTCAAGACTTTATTATACTTATAATGCACCAGAAGACCACATTCAATCATTGCAGTGCTTAGCATTGCCATATGGCAACCAGCAATTTTTTGAAGAAAAATGCATATTTTAATAATTGGTTATCATTTTCTTGATATCTAGAATTAATCGAAACACTTTGACATTAGGTTATCATTATATTGAAGATAACCCCGTCCCTGATGGGTTAAGTAAAAGAAAAAACTCCGATAAATTTTCAATCAAATGAAGTATACTCTATACCATGTGTACATTGTGACAAAATATATATCGATCAAACTTCACGGTTATTAAAAGACCGTATAATTTCTCACAAAAGTGACTGCAGATTAGCACCACAAAGGTGCGCTTTAAGCGAACACGTTAACGTTTCGGGACATAGTATGAATTTTAAAGAAACAAAAATTGTCTAAATAAAAAAACATACCTAAATCATCTAAGTGAAATATATACCTTCCTTTTATCAATAGATAAAATTTTTGAAAGATTCAAAAGTTCAATAACAAATCTGACCATTTCATAATATATACTCTCTATCCAATTTCTGTCATATTTAAAAAAAAAAACCTAAAATTGCATTATAAAACAAAATTGGCAATCCTGGTTAGGATGAAAGTTGGCATCACGATTGCAAGCACAGAAAGTGTTTTCAAATGTCATGTCATTCCTGTCATTATTCGTCCTCAAATTCAAAAACAACACTTGTGTGTTGAACACACAAACCGGTTATTTTACCAAAAGGTAATGAAAATTATTTCTATCATCTTCAAGGCAGTTTGAGTAGAGCCTTGAAGATGATAGCACGGCCAGCTGTTGAAAACGCTCGCATATAATAAATAGGTCTTATAAAACTTCAAATCCTTTTTGTGTCCTACTCGACTGGACATCTACAAGAAACAAACCACATAATAAATAAAGAACATGAAAATTCTCCTTACGTGCAATAAAGGAATAAAGATGAATTTGTTGAAGGCATTGGAAATAAATAAATTGTATAAAAACCCTAATGTCAAAAAACCCTCAATGACCAACTAGAACTCCCCCTTTTTGAATTTGTGAATTTTGAGTAATTTAGGATCCATTGGTAGTTGGAGAAATTCACAAGTAGGGTTTTTGGATCAATAGTTGGTAATTTTGATATGCTATAAAAGAACATTGACTGTATAATTGTATATTTAAGGACTTCTTTGTCAAAATGCGTCAGTTTACTTGAGAATGGTTTAACAATCCTAAACAAACAAAAATCTTAGTAATGTAATTTTTTTATCCTATATGCGATGAAATTTCTTATAAAGTACTCATTTATAAATCATGAACATACACATGAAAAACTTGTAGAATAAACCTTCAAGATATTAAGTACATAAATTTCATCTAAATATTGTTTGTTCACCAGTTTCAAATGTAATTTATAGTATGGAGTCTGTATGCATTTCAAAAATTAATAAAACACCTCATTGTAAGCATAAAAACTTTACTTCTGAGAAGTTATGATTATAAATTCCAAGTTGAGATATTGTTGGTTTTGAATTATTTTCTTTCAATGAAAATAATATCAACAGTATTTTCAAATTGGCAGACAAAAATATGAATTTTTCTTTTTTGAAATTTAAGTGGACCCTCTCAATTCATAGTTTTTTAATGTATGTGTTCCTATTTATTATGACATGCAAACTTTTCTTTCAGCACCTGATATTTCATTGAAGTATCTATGTTTTGCATTACATTTCTTATTTAGTAAAATTAATCAATGAAAAAATCATCAAGTTGAATAGATGTTACAGAACAGTGAATTTTATCATTAAATAGTGGTACCTCTGCAACCCATACCAGGCTTCGCTGATCATATCTTGTCAATTTTTGTGTTATAGTACGACGCAACCGGCCCCTCATCTGGACAAGTGAGTATATTTGTAAAAATGCTATGATAATTATCAACATAACTGAATTTTTACAGTGTTCATGTGGTTTTTGGAAGAGTTGTAAGTGGAGTTGATGTAGTTAGACAAATAGAGGCGCTTCCAGTCGATGCAAATAGTAGACCATTACAAGATACTAAGATTGTAAAATGCGGAGAACTAATTAAGCAAGTTAGAGGTAAATGAGTATAGTCAATGGTTGGTTGAGTCTTCCTAACTCAATTATGTAGTTTTTATTTATTCATGAAATTCTAAAACTTTTTAGCTAAGAAGGATAAAAAGAAGAGTTCCAATGGGGAACATGAAGAGGAAGATAGGAAGCCGAAAAAAAAAAATAAGAAGGAGAAGAAAAAAGATAAAGACAAAAAACATAACAAGTAAATATTTTATTAATGAACATTGTTATTTCTCAATATTTCAATATAATTTTTCTTCAGTAAACATTGTGCAAAGTCTGATGAAGAAGAGGGGGAAGTCATAGAACCTCATCCCTTAGTTACTGTCACAAATATCAATCTAGAAGATATACCTGAAGTTCCAAAAAATAAGTTTTTGATGAGAGGTGGCGATAAAAAAGAAAATGAAAAGGATGAGAGGAAACATGTCAAGAAAGGTAAAGTATACATTGCTGTTACGGAAATTATAATATCGGATAAAATACTAAATTTGTAATTTTTGTTGCAGATACTGAAAGAGAGAAAGGGGTTCATGACCGGGTTAGGAGGGAGTGGGGTGGTAGCTATAGTAGACGAGGTAGACCTATGACAACCAAGAGTGGTAGAATGATCAAGGGACGAGGAAAGTTTGTAAGTTGAATATTGAAAACTTTTCAAAACCTGCTTTTAGTCATTCAAATGAAACTCCGAATAATATGTAGGTGAATTGTGCAAAGTTGAAAATTCAGTAGTCTAATAATGAATGAAAAATGTACGCATTTCTCAAAAATTATTTATTTATTTATCTTTTTATCTACAAACATGTTTTCACAAAGGTATACATGAATACTTGTGATTGATATCAATATTAAAATTTAACCTAAAAAAATTGAAACTAAGATTAAACCCAAAGACTATAAATGAGTTCAATATGATACACATATACATATACATACATATATACATTAGTGTGACCGCAGAAAATCAATGTCGGAATTTTGTTCTTTTGGACCCCACAAAACGATTCCTCTTTCCAGATATTGAGATTCCTGAAATTCAAGCTCGATTAAACGACGTTAACCCGTGCCGCTCGAAGTTTGAAAAAATCCAAATTTTTTGCCAAAAAGCTGACATAGGGAGCCATAACTCCAGAACAACTATTGTTGTTCTTGAAATTTATATTCAATACATAATTGTTGTTATTTAGAGTCAAACCGAGTTACAACAATCTTTAGCCCCAAAAACGCGACGTGGTATCACTAGGAGCATACTTTTTATATTTTGTTAATAAGTGGTAAATTTTACTTTCTTCGGTATATTTTTGAGTTTAAAGTAGAAATATAATAAAAAAAACAAGAAATACTGAAACTCTAATGGCATTTCTTATTTCAAAATATAAAAATCAGCTATATAATACATGAATATTACTGGAGTTTTTTCCCAACACCAAACCGTTATTTTAACATTTCTAAACGTGTTTCGATCACCAAGTGATCATATTCATGAGGAAGATCAAACTAATCATACTCCCAAAGTTATCCTTATGTATACCATAGATACCACTTCTAGCTACCTGCGTCTTGAGTGTCTTGAATTAATTTCACAATATTGCCTTATCTACTACTCTAAAATGACTTTTACAATGTATTCTCATGAATAGTCAGATAAATCTAATGAATAAAATATTATTTTAACAAGTTATATAAAATTAATTTCAGAATATTGCCTTATCTACTAGTTTTACATTAATTTTAGAATGTGTCCTTATGTAATAGTCATGTAAATCTAATAATTAAAATATTATTTTAACAAACTATATAGTAACTAATAGGTATTGGTCCACCATCGTTATTCATAATATGTTTACTTATTTCTACACTTTCATAGGTATCTAGATGCCGTTGTTGTTAACTTGTCTAACTAATCTTAATGAACTGAAGTCTATGGAATGGTTTTGTTGCAAAATATGATGAGCGACTGCAGATTTTTTAGTGTTCCTTATAATTTATTTCAATAGATCTTTTTGTCTGTCCATAATATTTTGCATTGCAGTCCTTACATTTAATTTCGTAAATTCCAGACTTTTCCGAATTCTCAACTTTGTCTTTTAAATTTCCTAAAGGGCTCTGTAGTGTATGATTTTTTAAATCCACCTTCACACTTAGTTCTTTGAAAATCTTTCCAACGTTCTTCGTGTATTGGAGGTATGGAACTAAGATAAATTTATCTTGGTTCTTGTCATTTTTAAAAGTCGAGCTTTCGTTAATTCCCATCCTAAACTTTTTCTTTCTTATTATATCATCTACAATACCCCTCGAGAAACCGTTAGTGGCTGCTATTTCCTGTATTGTAAGTTTTTCTTTTGTGAACCTCTCGTGTGAGAGGAAAAGTCAAAAGACGGTGTACTAGCAATTTCAGCCCAGCACTTTTGTGCTGTCCACAGTGATATGAACTGTCAGGAATATACTTGTACGTACTTGGTGATCGAAACAAATGCCGAGGTGTTAAAAATAACGGTTTGGTGTTGGGAAAAAACTCCAGTAATATTCATTACTACATCAAAGGTTCCAAACAGTGCATCACAAGTATACAGGGTGTCCCTGGACTTCCTCTTTTCCTCTCGGGAATGTACAGATGGGGTCAAAATATCACCAGTACTTCATATAACTTTTTTTCCTAAAATCCTTCGTTACCAAGTAACGGGCCCTCGAAGTTACAAAATGAAAAATGTTTTTCTTTGATAACTTTTCAAGTGAATATTCAAAATCATCCAAATTTTGGTAATTGACTAAACAAATGAATTCCTTCGATGAGCTTTC